CTATCTATTGTTGATGTTAATTATAACTGTTCTTTTTGCTTCTATTTTTCTCTAAAACTTCATTATTGCTCACACGTTCAGTCCATGGTATTCTCAGAATACTTCTGTAGATCCACATTTCTGTTGCCTTACATCTTTTTCTCATCTGTGTGGAGATTGCCCAGCATTAACTACCATATAGGAAGACTGACGTAACGTAGTTCCATGGCCTTTTCTTAGTTTCTAACGAAATTTTCATGTTGCTTAATATTTTGCTTAGCTTTAAAGGATGTCTTCATTCACTATGTCAAAGTACATTCAGATTTCAATGTTGCACATTCCGTCCTCTCTTAAAACACTTCTCAAATATTTGAATGTTTGTACTTGTTTTATTTTGGTATCTTCATTTATTAATTTGCATATTGTAATGTTCCTTTTGCTAACAGCCATGCATTCTGTCTTCTTGAAATTGATGTTTGATTCTTTTTTCCTCGCTTCCCTTCACTAACGTCTGTAGGAGTTAATATAGTTTCCGGACTATGTCTTCTATCAACAATGTATCATCTGTATATATTGTTATTAAGATTTTGGCCGCCAATAAGGACATCTAATTCACTCCAAATCGCCAATAAGGACATCTAATTCTCTCAGAATCGCCAATAACGACATCTAATTCTCTCAGAATCGCCAATAAGGACATCTAATTCTCTCCAAATCGCCAATAAGGACATCTAATTCTCTCAGAATCGCCAATAAGGACATCTAATTCACTCCAAATCACCAATAAGGACATCTAATTCTCTCAGAATCGCCAATAAGGACATCTAATTCTCTCAGAATCGCCAATAAGGACATCTAATTCTCTCAGAATCACCAATAAGGACATCTAATTCTCTCCAAATCGCCAATAAGGACATCTAATTCTCTCCAAATCGCCAATAAGGACATCTAATTCTCTCCAAATCGCCAATAAGGACATCTAATTCTCTCAGAATCGCCAATAAGGACATCTAATTCTCTCAGAATCACCAATAAGGACATATAATTCTCTCAGAATCGCCAATAAGGACATCTAATTCTCTTAGAATCGCCAATAAGGACATCTAATTCTCTCCAAATCACCAATAAGGACATCTAATTCTCTCAGAATCGCCAATAAGGACATCTAATTCTCTCAGAATCGCCAATAAGGACATCTAATTCTCTCCATATCTCCAATATGACCATCTAATTCTCTCCAAATCACCAATAAGGACATCTAATTTTCCCAGAATCGCTTCACTGTATTATCCTAACATATTCATTTGTGTTGACTGAATTGCTAGTACTTCCCAAATCCTGCTATATTTTTCTCATAATAATGCTGGTTGAATATAATTTATGCTGTTATAGTGTTTGTAATAGTATCAGGATGAAACAGTAACTATTACAAGCTATTCAACTAACGACGATATGTAATATCTCCCACCCAGAACAACCAACTAGCTACCATTATCCTCTTCAGACTCTTCTAGGACCATCTTTGTCAGACAATGACCAATGGCGTTGAGAGTGGGGGGAAAAATAGAGAGAAGTTAGAAAAGATGCCTCGGGCATCTTGTGATTGGGATAGCAAATAAACACGGCCCCGCCGGCCTTGTTTCGTCTACAAGCAGTGTTCTTCCAGAGGATATTTTTCTTTCTATCCTATTCTTTCTCTCCTTTCAATCTTCATCCAGAAAGGGCCATAAACGAGCAGATTCTGCTGGGCATTTTTTTTTAATCTTTGTCAGAAGTGAGCCAAGGGAAATGATGTTTGTATCAAAACTGCTTGTACAGTTTCAACCTCTGATCACCTTAACAAAAGCATGTGCTTCAAAACCTACTTTTAAAAAAATATTCGCATATTGTACATTTCTTTTATTTATTGCCTATTGGTGACAACAGCATTCTGGATAATTGCTCTCCAATAGAAACATTCATAAGCGTTGAAATACCAAAATTTCGTATTTTTCTTTTCCACGTAGTACATCTACCCGGTGTATCAAAATATTTGTAGAATTTCAGGTGATTATTTTTAATTCGAAGTTATCTTCTTCGCTATTTTAGGAGTAAATTGTTGAGAGTTTATAGATATAATGAGCTATGGAGTAGTCCCATGTCTAACTGTTTTAGTTTCCCCTACTTATAACTGCTACTGTAATACTATTTTGTTATTTAAACCAGGGATGATAGTGTTTATGATTTCAGAAGGGTTTGCACAAAAATATCTTGTATTACGAAAGAGTAAATTTATTCAATAAAATCGCCATTGGCTTCAACCACAGTCTCCAGACGACTTCGGAATCTCGTGCAACTCTTAGTTAGGTGACCAGATCTAAAGGGTATTGTGATCGCAGAAATTGTTTGACAACAATATCCAGGTCCTTCTGCTTGTGCGGAGTCATGTTGCTAGACACAGGGTCTACCAGCAGCCACCCACTTGACCGTGTTGAATCTGAGGCCCTGTGGAAAGATGAATGGAGGCATATGTGTGAGTGAAGGGAGTGTATAAACTCCGAGTCGTTCTATTGGTGAGGATAATATATATATATATATATATATATATATATATATATATATATAAAGCTCGTATTTGTAAACACTAATACTGTGAATAATACAAGACCCTCCCAACGGATTGAGCCCATTAGGTCACTGGCGTGTTTATGAAAAAATAAATACGCAAAAATTCGCCTTTTTCTCTACCGAGTGTCGATAGCCTAGGAATTATCCTTTATTATTGTTTACATAGCACAGTTTCGTATCCAAATGTAAACAAAGTAATTTTCTAATGAATAATGTTTTATTTATTAATCCGAAATATTTTTAGCACTTTAAACCTTATTTTTAGTGGATACTCATATTTGAATAGACGCTCCATTTATTTATTAAACGGTATAATTATTTATTTTCGTTTGATGGTCTGAACATTCGAGAAATCTTTTTGAATATTAATAAATAAACGGAGTGTCTACACAAATATGAGCATTCATTAAAAAAATGTTTTTATGTATAATTGTGCATTTAGCTTCCATTTTCTGTTTAAACTTGCGCGTTGCTCACATGTTATGACCATTTTATTCTCAGCATCCTTCTATAGAACCACATCTCCGTCTTTTCATCTGTGAGGAAGTTGATCAGCAGTCACTATCATATAGGAGAATGTAATGTCAATCGTTATCTACTATCTTCCTGATTACGCCTCTATTGTTCTCACTCCTTCATAATGTTTCTGTTTTCTAATTCCAATAACCACTTGTGTCCTAGTGGCTTTACATCCTTGCTTGGGGTAAATTCGAATAAAAGAAAACGATAGTTTATTTACTATTTTATTTATGCATTTATGATAAAACTCTAAAGATTTGGACGCCCAATAAAATATTTGAGTGTCGTGTCTGCATCTTCTTTGCAAGTGAATCTATTTTGGCTTAAGAAATTCTCAGAACGTGATCAATCAAGGGAATATGGTTGATGTGTCAAAGTCTCGTATCCGAAATCGGTGAGGTCCTTCAATGTCATCTTGGTAACATATGAATTATCATAAAGTATAATTGACAGTCTTTGGCAAATAGGGAATTCAATGTAGATAACAGAATTATATATACATATAAAGATGCCAACAGGGCAGTTCTGGGAAAACAAATGGGAGGATTCTTCCGGACAATTGTCGGCGTGAGACAAGGATGCGTACTTTCACCCATATTGTTCAACCTATTTCTAGAGTGAATCATGCAAGAAAATCTGAACGACCATGATTCTTCAATCTCTATCAGTGACAGACCCGTTTGTAATCTAGGTTTTGCAGACGACATTGGTCTCAAGGACATGATCAACAAATCTGTTGAAGGAACAGGAGCATATGGAATGGGGGGCCATGTCCGAGAAATCCAAAGTTATCTGCGTCAACATTACCATGAATGGGAATTCACTGAAGGAAGTGTCTAGTTTTAAATACTTAGGAGCAATCATGTCTAAAGATGGTATTTGCAGCTCAGAATTTCACAGACGGATTGCTGCATCCATGACAGCGATGGCCAAATTGGCAAGAGTGGAGTAAAATCAGCTTTCAAATAAAATAGACTGTACAAATCGCTGGTAGTCTCTATTTTCTTATATGGATGTGAAACATGGACACTGCTGGCAGAAACAGAGTGAAGAGTCCAAGCGTTTGAGAACAAATGCATGAGAAACTCCTTGGCATTTTTTTATTGGGAACATAAAACCAATAAGTTTGTGCGGAAAAGAGTTGAAATTTTCGTAGGCCACCAGGAACCTTTCTCACCACTGTCAAAAGAAGAAGAATGGCTCAGTTTAGACACGTTACAAGGCACAATCGTCTGCTGTTGCTATTTCAGTGTTGGAAAGTTTTTTGGCCGTTATGATCAAGCCACTGAGTCGATTGTTTATTGTTGGATACATTTCTCACTATTCGTACAGCCAGCATCGAACACACTTCAAAATATCGAACTTTTTTTTTAGTTTCATTGACTTTATGTCGAACACATTTATCGAGTTTCAGATGCTGATTGTCAATTACAGATAGACGTCATCAGTCGCCTTGAACATCAAGACTCGTATTCCCACTGCGGAACTTCAGAAGTCAGCACCGTATTGGTCGATCGCGGGTGGATCCTTCACTCCATGCTCTCATAATGTTGACAGTAGTTTGAGAAACATTGGGACCAAGCTTGAACTCATGCAAGAAAACTAAATGCATCTCTTTTTCCATATTAATAAATGAAGGGCTTTAACTTAAGGAAGATACTTTAATCCTTAAGAATGTGTAATATATTTGTATGCAGCTATTATAATATTAGAAAGGTTTATTCTAAAATCAGATATTATTTTCCGAACAACCTAATACTTTGTTTATCTTCCTCTTTACTCATATGTTCCGTCCATGGTATTCTTTTCATCCTTCTATAGTAATGAATTTTATGTTTCCAGTGAAACCTTAAGCAGTTTAAGAAAAAAGTTTAAATATGTCCAGTGGGGCCTAC